TGCACATATAAATACAACTAATAATCAGTGTTGTTTTGTTATGTGGATGGGTTTGTTTATTTGTAATATTTTATATTTTTAAAATTGCAATAAATGACAAAAATCTCAGTTTTTGCTTTTGGCTAAGAAAAGTGAAACCTATTCCTTTAAATTCATGTTTTAAAAAAAGACAAAGATTACGATGTTTACATGAACATAATTGAAATTTAACAATGTGTTTTTATTTGTGTTCGGAGGTTTTGATATTTATTAAAATCGCGGCTTGTTTTCGCTCTCGTAGACGATTGTAACGTTTAAACTACTTTTATTATTTTACATTGTTGAAAAGGCAGAAGCGCAAAGAAAAGAGAACAAAAAATGTTGAAGAATTATTTTAAAATCACAGAACAAAAAAAAAAAAACAATAAGGTCGAATAAATCCCCTGGACTTCTCTGCGTTGCTAAGCCACATGTCAACAAAGAAAGCCAAAATAAACAAATAAATAAACAAACAAACAAATAAATAAAAAACTTTGACACTTTTTTGCTGCCATCATTAGGAAAAGCCTGATTTTCACATCAGTTTTCTGCCGGTTCGAATCGGCCGTAATGTTGCGGTGGCAGTTCTGGTTTATTTTCTGAAAACGGGTCGAGTGTTTACAGTGGAGAGCTTCCCTCGCCTCGCCGACGTTTGGAGGAAAACCGGGTCGCTGCCTTCGCAATCAGCGTCAAGAAAAAAATGAAAAGACAGTTTGCGCGTTTTGTGAGTCGTTACGTCATGACTTTCCATGAGTTTCTCTATTTGTGTGAACATGTAAGAGTTGTGTTTCTTTTTTGCCAAAATTTGGCGAAGTGACACGTCTCACCTTCGACTTAAATGTCATCCAGACCACACCCCTGGCACAGATCTTTTCTGTGCAACTTTTTGGTGCTTTTTTTTTTCCCCCACTTTCCAGTGCAGAATAAGAGAGATGAAAACCTTCGGTTTCAAAAATATGCGGGTCGAGGGCGGTGGAAAGACAAACCGAGCGGAGAAACGCACATAATGCACGCGTACGCACACCCACAATCACTCCAATCTAACGCTGTATCAGTGTGAAAGGGAGCCTTGTCTGGCTGCCTGAGGAACTCCCTTTGAATTAAACCGTGTGTGTGCGTGTGTGTGTCGGCCGGTCTGCCAGGCAGACATACTAAACCACTCTACATCCATGTGGCAGCAAAATGTAGCTTGGAAAACAACCCCACTCCAACTCACACACACCCTGAGGGCTCCAGAGGCCAGCCGGCAACCTGGTGTGTGTCTGCTGCTCTAAATGTGTGTGTGTGTGTGTTTGCCACAGAAGGAGGAAGTGTACAGGAGCTGGGAAAACAGCTCAGGTCAACAGTTTGTACCCTGAAAGATGGAGGGAAATCAAACTCAGAGCATAAATCTACGACGGATGAAGGACCGTAAAATTTACAAATTTGCCATTTGGCGTGAAACTCAGATCCAAGACAGTTTTATAGAAAAACCCTGGCGTAAACACGCAGCGTAAATAACATTTTGTCATCACCTCACAATGAGGTCTTAACATCTGAAGAAGCTTAAGCGCAATTACAACAAACGCACCCGCAGACATTACGCTGGGGTGGGGGGCTAGGCTAATTAGCAGCATTTTTCTTCCATAAAAGCAGGTCTGGTGTTCAGAGTTTTTTTAAAGCAACATGAAACGGAGAGGCATCTGTGCTCAATTTAGCTTAACGTGGAGAAAGATGTGAGGTGCGTCGAAGGAAGGTGAGAAAGAGCTGGAGGGCAGGAAGGCTGATCGGTGCTTCTGCGTTTTTTCTGACACATAAAGCGCAACTGAGCCACAAAACGCTTTACTGTAAATACGGCAAAAACCCAACAAGATGCATAAAACCACCTTCATAAATTTACATGCTGTCATTTAATAATCTTAATTTTGACCAAAAACCAGGAATTAAAGACATCTTAGAGGAATAATTCGTTTAATATACGTTGTATATTGGGAACAACGTTTCATAAAGTGTTTAGTATTTAATTTACAAAAATGAGGCCAGAAAACTCAAATTTCTAGTCTCTGTTTCCGCTACTTGTTAACCATGGCTGAAAAACATCACAATATAAACGTTTCATATCAGTCCATGTCAATAAATATTGATTCGGTTTTTTTTTTCTTTTGTTTTAAATATCAGTTATATCGCCAACTTGTTTCATGCACAGTTTTCACTCCACGCCGTTGTTTTTCATTTTGTATCAATTATGAAGCAAAGTGGTGGAACCTGAAACTGCTGCTGCGCCAGTTACTCAACAGGTTGTTGCTAGGTAACTAAAGACTGAGTGAGTTGCTAGGTAACCAAAGATTGAATGGGTAGATGCCACCGATCTTGCTTAGCGATCCATGAGAAAATGCTGCGTGGTTCTGGATCGATTATTATTAATATCGGACTGAGGAAATTATGTCTCACGATATCATGTAGAAATTTAGACAAAAAAAATTTAAAAAAGAGATTGGATTTTTTTGTGTTAAAGAAACTTCATGTATTTAAAATATGTATATATTTCCAACAAAACATTTAATATTATGATTTCTGAGCTTTTTGTAAACAAACAGGGTTCCTGTAAAGCCACAAACCTTCACTTGTCGTAACACGAACTCTACGCAACAACTGCAAACGTCAAACCATAAATCTGGTGTCGTCTCCAGAAGCAGTTGCTCAGTCGTCCTTGGGTGATAGCCAGTGGTGTCAGTTTTATGTTCGCCAAGCTGTAAAGGCCTAAAGGTGTAAAAGGTGATGTTTATCTGAGTGTAATCAAAGCCCATTCATCGTTATCCCGTCGTTAACCTCGGCTTCACAAAGAACAACAAACAAAAGCCGAAGAGTGTTCGTTTCCCAGTGAGGACAACAGCAACCCTTCGACTTTATTTGTTGATTTTACGACGTGTTGTTGAACTAACTCTCTAAAGCTGTAACTGTAATCCAATGAAAACTCTAATATTTTGCTCGTGAAACATCAACAAAACGTCACAGATATTTATAAATATTTGGATACCGATCTCATTGGCTGTTTCGACAAAATGAAACATTAAAGAACATTAACATTACTAAATTTGCAGTTTCATTCTATCCAAAATATTCACGTTTGGATCTGTAGTTAATTGTGACAAGATTGGCTAATTATATGTGGTGCACCTCAGGGCTCAGTTCTTAGTCCTTTATTAAGCTTTAAATAACAAACACATGTACATTTTCTGATCCTCTTACCTTCACACACAAACTAGCATTTATATCTAATACATCTCTTGAAACGTTAATAATAACAAACTATGTTCCAAAAAAACCTTAAAAGTCTTAATTTGACTCTACAACCAGTTTAAACTGTAGGTACAGTCTGGAATGTTTCTGATTTCTGACATGTTACATTTTTTAAAACAGAAAACCATGATCCACGAAGCTTTTACTGCAAAACTGAGCTACAACTCAGAAAGCTGAGTCATGGCTTCGAGGCGAAGCTGCAGGAGTGCACACATTTAAAAACAAACTGAAAGCGAAGCCGCTGCTGCCAGAGGTTTGTCTCAACCAGCAAATAAACTCAGCTAACGTTAGACAACAATGTCTGCATTCATTTTCAAGTTGCAGAGGCCAAAACTGTAGATTAAACACTGAGCTTCTGCTGGGTTTGAAGATAAATTAATAATCTACAGAAAATAACATAAATGTTCATGTAAACTTGAAGCTTTCTTGTTTGAACATGAATTGTGTGTCTCTTTTTATTCCCTTGAGTCAAGCAGTAGGTCAAACCAGTTAGTTTTGTCACTGCAATTTGCAGCAGAGCTTGTGTACGTTTGTTTGTTTCCTTTTTGTTAATTTATGAATTCAGAGTGTTGGTGGAAACGAACATGCGGCGCTGGAAGTTCGTGCTTCTACGCTACGTGTGAAAACTTGCATGTGAACGTTAAGCTACGCCGTGAGCGTCCTGCGCCGCGTCGAGCCGCTCTCAGCCTGATGTATGTCCTGCTCGCTCAAACAGCCCGTTTACAGTTCTGGGTTAGGCTCCCAGTCGCTCTGCCGCGACCCCAACCATTTGGAGGTCAACGGGGTCAGCCCCAAAACTGACTGAGCGGGTTAGCCATTAACCAAGACGCTCCGACGAAACAGTGAGGGTAAAAACGAAATAGAAAAGGTATTTTATTTAGATTAACTAACGGCACAGATTTTACCACGTCACATTTACAAAATTAGCTTTACATACAAAACTCCTCAGTGGAACCTTTGTGTTCACGTGTTTCCAGTACGGCAGTAAATCTGATGCGCAAGCAACATCCTCAAACAACAACAAATTTGCTTTTTTTGGGCCAATCTGGTCTGATTGCTGCTTCAAAATGCGATCTGATTGGACGGTGGAGAAGCCTGTCACTGTGCTAAAAGTAGCTAGCTCCTCAGCGAAGCTAAACTAGCATCTCAATGCTAAACGTGTTGCAGCAGCTCAGATACAAACGCTAATGTCAGCTTCCACATTTCTATAGAACCACTTTTTTAAAATAAATTACATGAAGAACAGAGGCTCTTATTTTGAAGACAATTTTGTTTACAGAGACTAATTCATTTTATTTGCTGTTTCCGTTGTTTTATTTATTGTGGATAATTAAAATGTCCTCCAGTTCCAGTGTTGAATGTTCATCAGATTTAAAGTTTATTGATCTTTGAAAATATGTTATTGCCTTATTATTATCATGCCAGTCAGCTGTATATTTCATGAAAATAGTCTCAAATCAACAATATTATTGTTTATCACAATAACTTCTGGGACAATTTATCTTCTGATGTCCAGCTGCTTTCCTGAAGTTTTCTCATCTTTCCTATTTTGAACAGTGGTCCTGAACATTTATGGATTATTATTTAAAAGTTATTTCAGGGGTTTTTAAACTACAAAGTTTTACTATGATATATGACAATGATTTTGTTAAATTTCTTACCTGGGAATAAAAACGTTTTTGGTGTCCGTTCTGCTCTCTCAGGGTTCAGGCTTCCACGCATCGCGAAGGCAGAAATACGGCAACGTGTTCAAGACCCACCTGCTCGGCCGACCTCTGATCCGAGTGACGGGGGCTGAAAACGTCCGGAAGGTTCTGATGGGCGAGCACACGCTGGTGACGGTCGACTGGCCGCAGAGCACGTCGACGCTGCTGGGCCCCAACTCTCTGGCCAACAGCATCGGAGACATCCACCGCAAGAGGAGGAAGGTCAGAAACACCTTCACGGGAATTTAACCCAACTCAGTTGGGTGTAAACGTTGCTCAAAGCTCTTCGTTCACAGATGACAATTCATGTGAATGAGTGAAATATTACAAAGATGTTAGTTGACTTGTGAATTGAAGGAGGTAAAACTTAAAATATAGATGTCTTATAAACAAGGTGGGGAAATGTGTTGCCAGTTACTTTCACAAAGAAAGACACTTTTTCAAATCCAGATCGAATCACATTATCACAAGTTTTCTACTATAACGGGACAATATGGCTGGAAAAGTTTCACAAAACGAGTGTATTATATCAGTAAATATCGATAATCATCCACTCGTTTCTTTTTGTCTTAAATATTTGCAATGCTGCCAAACTGGCAGCGTGAACTTTTCTGTTTTATCCATAGTTTTTACAAAAAGTCATATTTTTATTTTTAAACCGTCCACTCAACAGGTAGACTGTATTCTCACACTATCATGACTGTTGGAATATTATGACTTTATTTTCTTATTACTGCAGCTTTCTTGTAAAAATAAAAAAGCCATAACGTGAGAATAGTCGTACGAAAACACAGTCGAAATAACGCGACGTTATTGTGACTGTATTGTTAAAGTATAGTAACTTTATTCTCATATTTTTACGACTTTATTCTTGCATTTTTCTCAATTTATTGTTGAAATATTGATTTTATTTATAGTTTTATGATTTCATTATGGTATTAGACTATTTTCACACGTTTATTCTGATAATATTAATTTGTACTTGACATTTTGACTGTTTGTATTTTTTCTACTTTATTCTGGTAATATTGTGAATTTATTCTCACAGTATTATACATTTATTGTCAGAATATTGATGTCATTCCTTTTATTTTGACTTCATTCTCATACAAGTTTATTCTTTCTTTTGCTCTTTATTTTGAAAATGATAGAAGTATGAAATCACGTAATTTTTCAGATTTTTGACTTTATTTTGATATTATTGCATTTTTCAAACTGAGCTGTTCTCCCTTGTGCTCCGTCGTGGATTCAGACGCCACAGAACGAGTCTCGTTGTAAATCTACCCTCTGTTATCTGAGGCGTTTTGGCCGCTGAAGCGTGAGAACGACGCCTCCATCAGGAGACCGTCTTCGATTATCTGTTTTCCTTCGCTGCCGTCCCTTCCTCTCTGCTGTCTGTACGCGGGTCATTACCGGTAATCGCCTTTCCTCTCCTGCTCACCTGACGCACAAACTCACCAGGAAGAAGCTCGAAGGAGTTCGTTTTCCTGTAAATCAGTCTCTCATTTTCTCTCATTTTGCGGGGGAGGGAGAGGCTTCGGTTTCGGTGCCTGGGGACGGCGAGGGGTCGGCTGGGTCTAATCTGAGCTCTGATCCCTTCTCCTCTCCTCGGGGACCCCGGGACTAACCTCATGTAATGACCCCTGATTAGGAAGGCTGCCTCCGACATGGCACAAAGAGGGGCTTTCTGTGTGGGGGCCCGACACACACAAACACACGCCGCCGCAGTGTGTGCGCACACACCTGAACATCGCCCGGCTCTTAACACAATGCGACACGCAGAGAAAAAGGATGTGAGGTCAGGAAAGTTGATTTTGGAGATAAGTTCGTGTCTTGTCTTGCTGAGCGAAATGATATGACAGCCAGTTTTCCACACCTGCTTCTTCTGCTATGTCTGTTACACCTGGATAACAAGGCAAACAGATCCACAGATGAAGAGATAAAATCCCTTTCAGGAAATAGCCTTTTGTTTACAACACAGTTGTATTTTATCCACAGTGATATAATATGAACACAAACTACATGTTTGTGTTTGTAGGCTGGGATTCATGTTCTGTCTGGATATTTTTAAACTCACTTTCTTACCTGCAGTTGGCAGGAAAGTCTTTATTTTGGGGAATATGAAAGAAAATTTAATGCAGATTGTCCTTAAATAGTCCTTAAAATGTCTTGAACTCATTAAAAAAGAGGAATTTGGCCTTAAATATGTAAATTACGTATTTCATCTCCTGTATTTTATGTAGCTTCTTTTTTTCTCATGAGACTTTACTGTTACACAAAACCTTGGGTCGGTATTTAGCTGCTAATATACTAGCTAGCTTATTTATGTCCATCATGATGCAAATTTATTGCATTTTAACTTTATTGCACTTTAAACAAGATGGACGATGTTTATCTTAGCCAATAGGCTAACTTCTCTTGCTAACCTATATATGGTTTATTTATTTGGATTTTCTTTTGTATGTTTGTAGTCTTAGTTACTTTTAGTAGTTGTGTTAACTTATATTTCTGGATTTGTTTGTCTTTGAGTGATTTTCAGCTTTAACTTTCAGAAAATCCTCATTTAGCTTTGAGTCTAGTTTGTAGTTTTCAACCAAGTAGCTGCTAGCTGCAGATTTTAGTATTTATTAACTTGAATTTCATAAAGTGAAAGATAAACTGAGTCTAAGTAAATAAAACAAAGTATTAGTAAATATGGGCTTCGATTTGAGTCACTGTTAGCTTGGCTTTTGGTGTCTGTTAGCTGTTTAGCTTGACTTTGAGCAACTGTTAGCTTGCTAGCTTAAATTTTTCTTGTTAGCTGAACTTTTTATCTGTCAGCAGCTTTTGGTTTGCCAACTGAACATGGTATGTAGCAGCAAGTCATAAAACCAGAGGGATTTTCCAATATCGTAATGTTACCTACTGATAGCAACATAAGCTAATAACAAGGCATTTATCTGACTTTAATCGGTTAAACTCTAAAGGAACATGTCTATAATCGTTCATGTTTTTATTTTAACTGAACACAAATAGTGAGAAGTGTTGAAAAACAGTTAATGTGTGTGGCAGCCATATTGGATTGCACTTCTGACCAGAAACTCAGAAAATCAAACTTCTGTGTACAAACAGGACGTCTTATTTGAAAAGCTCTTAGCTCTAGTTTGACGAATTGCTAGCTTGACTTTCAGTAGATTTCAAGATGAAAATTTCTCTCTGATTCTTTCATTACTGTATATTTCAGATAACACACTGACTACTCAGAACTACTCCCCCTATTCTCAGCATTATTTAAAATCATTGACCAAGCAGAAAAATGGTTCTGGGAGTGTGTGAGTGCAGTGTGGTGGTTTCCATGTCTTCTGTGTGTCAATGTGTGTTGGCAGGTTCAGTTTTCTGGACAATAAAACCAAATCAGCAGACTGAAACCGGACAACAGCGACCCAGAGAAAGAGTGAGCAACCGGCTTGGTGCTTGACCTGCTGGCCCAGAGCGTGTTCGTCTGCCCTCCCTGCGGTTTTCACATGGAAAAACAATCTTCACACAGCACATTAGGCTTTAGTGGATCAGCAGAGCCGGCCAGTTTCTATATAACCCAGTATTGAGCTGGGAAACCGAGTCGCCTAGAGAACCACAGATGGTTTCCAGCACTGACCGGCCCGGGCCGAGCATTCAGGAGGAACAAACCCAAGCAAATCTGAAGCATGACTATTTCTGTTGCACTTGGCAATGCAAATTAGCTTGTGAACCAGGTCAGAAAGAATGAGAATCAATCATTTCAAATTTTCCCCTTATTTTCAACCAAGACAGGCAACAAAAACGACAAATATAGCCTTGTTTTTATCAAAAACAACTTCAGCCTGGTGTGTTTAATCTTCATATTGAATCTGTGAAGCAGAAAGATGCAGCAGAGGGGTGCCGCATCTTTTTCAGGTTTTCTTCACCACCAGTAGAGGGCGCTGCCATTTTTAACTGTGCCTAAATATAACACATCAGGGGTATTTGCACAAATCTATGCTTTAAAATGAGAATATCTTTGAAATGTTAGGTGTTATAGCCTCTGAAATAAATTAGAAACGATGCAGCTGAGGAACAAAAGTATTTGCAACACGACCTCAATACAAAATATTTACATACTTTTTGTTTTAAGACATTTATACAGCAATAAATTATGTATATAGAGGACAATTTTAAAGATTAATCAGCATTAGTGCGGTTTGAAATCCTGCAATTGGTGGAAATGTTGTCAGTTTACTGGTAAATAAAGTTAAACCCAACATTTTGAAGCATGTTGTTGCCGTCGGACACTTTAAATGACCTTATTAGTATTTTATGATCAAACACCAGCAGTGGCTCAAAACAGTGAAGTGAAGAAGATTATTTTTGTTTTTTTATACTCTGATGTCATTGTGAGTCTTTCGGGATAAATGTTTCAAATATATCAGTTTGCCTACTGTCTGGACTTTGACTGGGCCATTTTAACACATGAACTGATCCGAACCATTTCATAGTAACTTTGGTTGGAGGTTCAGACCCGGGCCGGTCCAAAGTAAAGCAGAACATGACCAGTTCTATGAGCACATCCTCACCAAACGACGACGCTAAAAGATAAAAAAATAAACTTGTGACAATAAACTCCTAATAGTACAAGAATAAAGTTGTATGTGAATAAAGACAGTTTTTATTCTCAAAATATTATGACCTTATTCTTGTTATTGAGACTTTATTTTTGCTATATAACAACTTTATTCTCGTAGTTTATAAATTTATTCTCCTAATATTACGACTTTATTTAATTTTTTCCTAATATTTTGTCGTACCAAACCGATTTAGCCGCGTTGGGAGCCGGTACCTGAAGTTCTCAGGAACTTGTCCTCCTCTGATCCGGACTGAAGACAGAACGTGGAAAGACATGGAGCAAAAGAGGAAAGAGAGCGAAGGAGTGTTTTCTAAAAAGAGGATGGATGGATGGAGGGGGCAGGCGGTGACGGGAAGAGGAGGGAGCAGCGAGGGCAGAGAAAAGAATAAAGGAGTCTTTACATGTCTGTGGAACCAGCAGCTCGCAGCACTTTCACATAATTTAAGACATATGGACGTTATTAGGACAACTGTGTGTGTGAGTGTGTGTTTTTGTCTTTGCGCTGCAGGCTACAGAGGACAGTCACGTTTTTGTGGTGCAGGAGAATGACTGTTGTACAGAACAATCCCCCTTCAGCTCACACACACACACACACGCACGCACGCACACACACACACACACACACACACGCACACATGCACGCACGCACACACACACACACAGGCAGCCTCGTCCCGACTGGAACCAGAGTGACGCTGCATAAAAACAGAATTTGATTGGCAGCCAGGATCCACAGAGAGATGCTGTGTGTGTTTGGATGACCTGTAGTTACCTTTCAGGGAGCAACACACTGACGTACTAAACTACGGTAGCTCAGCCCTGCTGCTCCGGGCCTATTTATGTCAGAGTGTGTGTGAACAGCCAAAGGGTTCAGTCAGACGGGGCAATTGTAAACAATTCAGCGCAGACGGGTTAAATGGGTTAATTCACAGCCTTACATAACCGGGACGTGCGATACGAAAAGGTTCTTCAGGGGTTTTGCTGCTGTTTAGAAGATTTTCTTTGGACGTTGGTTCATTTTTCTGTAACAGTTTAATCCAGTTCGTTTGGGGAGGTGAAAGCTACGGCTTGGTTCGGTTGAAATGAACTCTGCTGCGTTTTGAATGGGTATGTGGGCTGGAGATCGCGCCGAAAGCAGGAAATGAGCAGGGAACTCTGGGTAAATACAGCAAAAACAAATGAGTCTCAACGCTGGCGGGAGAAATGGCTTGTGAAGAAGTGTCAAAGAAAACACAGCAGCTGAAAATGAAACAAATATTTCAGTTTTGGTCCCTGATCGAACCGAGTCTATCAGAGCCAACAGCAGCGATGGACGGCAAAGTTGCTTCTCTTGACTCACTTCGGGTTAATTTTTGCTTAAAAATGATCTGATTAGATGCTGGAAAAGAGTATTATGTTCAAATTGTGCTAAAAGGAGTTAACTTCTGGAGTTAAAAAACTTTTCTGTTTTGACAGATCCTTCGTGATAAAGTGGCTTCTTAGGTTTTCCAATCATGATGTGAATGTTTCATAGCATTTAGATCGATCATTGTTGATTTGTATTTCTTTTTTTGTTTGTTTTAATTACATGTTGCTTTATTGCCAATGTGGTGGCCTGATATTTCCTGTTTTCTCCATAAATTTCTCTCCACACCCTTGTTTTTTATTTTGAAGGAGTTATGAGGCGAAACCTGAAACTGCTGCTGCGCCAGGTACTCTGCAAGTTGTTGCTAGGCAACCAAAGAGTGAGTGAGTTGCTAGGTAACCAAAGACTGACTGAGTTGCGTGACAATCGTAATATATTTCCCTTGGAAAATAATAAAACTGCTAACCACAGAGGTAAGGAGACGATCAACACTTATCATGTCCAACAAATAAAGAAAATCTTCATTTCACGAGGAAAAGAAACCCGAGTGGCTTTTGAGTGAACCCGATGTCGGGCCACCAGTCGTTACACAGAAGCTCGTTCAGACGCTCCAGCCTCGTTTCATCGAGCAGAAAATGCAAACCATGTGCGTTTCGCTCGTGGATGTGCCGCGTCGCGATTCCCGATTCACTCCAACCTTGTCTTGGAAAAGGATTTCCCAACAAGCAGCTCCTTTATGTTCTGCTCTCCAACAGCTCTGACTGTCAGATGCATGAAAATATTATTTATTTAGACAAAGATACGTTTTAGAGACGGTTTAAAAATAGTTATAAAGGCTTCTTTCTTATTCTTCTACTTCTAAATCACAGCCAGGACAGTTTCAAGGGGCAGTTTTGGAGGTCGGATCTGATGGAATGTTATTTGTTCAAACAGCGCTGACGACCGGTGATTGATTCGTCCAGAAAAACGCTCGAAGCGGGCTTTACGTGGGCCCCCCTCCTCGCTTTTTCCTCTTCAGCCTGTCAGTAAACGTTTTGCTGACTGCAGAAGAAAAACCTCTAAAGGAAAAGTCTCTCTCCCTTGATCCACAGCTGAACTTTCTACTAAATTTCACATTAATTGTGCGTGTCATTCTGTGACTGACTGGCGACTTGCGGCAGCTGCTTTGTGTAATTTTAAGTCCAATTTAATTGAAGTGGTCTTTGATTTTGTGTCTGCAGGTGTTCGCCAAAGTGTTCAGCCATGAAGCGTTGGAGTCCTACCTCCCAAAAATCCAGCAGGTCATCCAAGAGAGCCTCCGAGTGTGGAGCTCCAACCCCGAGCCCATCAACGTCTACAGGTAGGCCGGTGGTCCAGGAAGGTTGCACCGAGTCCATTCACACCCGGTCTGTCTAGTTCCAGTTCCAACTAGTTTGTCTGGAGAGTTTGTTTAGTTTGGGAAGACATGAACACGCAATCAAACTCTGATGCGAGCCAAAACAGCAAAGTCTGGTCCGCCGACAAACCTCTGTCTCTGTTCGGTTGAAGTGAACTTTGGTGCATATGTGAATGCAAACGCTCTAAAAACAGGAAATGGATTATAGAGCAGGGCATTCTGGGTAAATACAAACCAAAACAAATGCTTGAGAAATGGTTTGTTGTGTTTTACCAAAGAGAAAAGAGAAATCCTACAACTGCTAATTTCCGACGCCTCTAGTTTTGTTTACATTCTGTGAAAAAGAAAGTTGCTCTAATGAAGAGATAAAAATATTCTATTTTTCCTCTTGAGCTTTTCTGATTTGTAACTGCAGAGGTCTCAGGCTGTGCTTGACGTGTTTGGACGTAACCGTGTTGTTCCTCAGGGAGAGCCAGAGGCTGTCGTTCACCATGGCGGTCCGGGTGCTGCTGGGATTCAGGGTGTCGGAGGAGGAAATGCGGCACCAGTTCTCCACCTTCCAGGACTTCGTCAACAACCTCTTCAGCCTCCCAATCGACCTGCCATTCAGCGGCTACAGGAAGGTAAGACGATTCCTATGATTTGTTTCTGTTCAATCCGTCGCTCTTCTGTAAAATCGCCAACAATCTCCCCAACATGCTGCCAGAAGTCTTAGTAACTTATTCTGTGATTTTAATTTCATTTCTTTTCCAATGGAAACACAGCAACTATGTAGTGTAGTTTTCTGACATCAGCAGACATCATAGACAAAGATGTACCTACATTTACCTACATTCCATCTCAATTTGAGATGGAATCTGAATGTATTTAACGTGTTTTCGTGCGTTTCTTCTGCAGGGAATCCGAGCGCGAGACACGCTTCAGAAAAGTATAGAGAAAGCCATCAGAGAAAAGCCTCTGTGTTCCCAGGGGAAGGATTACAGCGACGCGCTGGACGTCCTGATGGAGAGCGCCAAGGAGAACGGCACCGAGCTCAGCATGCAGGAGCTCAAGGTACGAAACGCCCTGGACTCCGGCCTGAACCCGGAAAAACCTTCGTCCTGCTGCCAGAATCTGGCATTTAAATATATTATTTTAACAATATGGGACAATAATAAGGCATTTTTTAAAATTGTGTAATTTCAAAAGAGAAGCATATTTCTCCATTCCTTTATTATTATGACAATTTTTTGCTACGTTTTTATTTTAGTTACATGAATGAAATAATGAAAATATAGTCATAAAATTAGCAGAAACAAAGTCAGAATTACGTGAAGAAAAGTTGTTTTATTGAGAGCAAAGGTTGAATAGTTGTAACGCAACCAGCTGAGTCTTGGCTTATTTCCCTTATTGTTTCCTCTATTCTGGTATTTTTACAACTTATCTGTCATGTTACAACTATTCTTGTAATACTAGTTTTATCCAGGTAATATATATTATGTCTGTATTATTATTTTGACTTTATTGCCATGCAACTTTACTCTGGTATTATCACAAAATTTTTCAGATATCACGACTATTTTCTAATATAATGACTTTATTCTTTTATTATTGCGACTTCTCGTAATATTAAAACAACTCTGATAAAATAACTTTTTGTGTTATTATGACTTCTTCCTACTTTATTCTGATATTACAACTGTTTTGGTAATATTAGGACTTTATCCAGGAATTATTGTCACTTTTTTCTCATATTATTACGACTGTTCTCATAATATGGCTCCTACTCCGGTGATAAAATGATTTCTGGTTTTACTTAAGAGTTTTTTCTCCGGTAATATAATAATATTCTCTTTCTTTTAAAAAATATCTATAAATCTAATATTCCTAAAAAACAGCAGCTTGTTGTGCCTCAAAATTGCAGCATCATTAACAGATTTTGTCTCTTTGGATATCAGTTTCACTTTCATTCCTGATTTTGAAAATGTAGTTTGGTCAAATATCCTGCCAGAAACATCACCTTGTAATTCAAGTCATCACCGACTCAAATGTTCGACTTCACCTCAAATTGCGCTAAATAAAGCCGGACACACAGGAAGTCGCTACAAACCATAGAAAGGAATGAATAAAATTAGGAATTGAAAGAATGAGCTGCATTAACTCTGATGTCAACAGGCGGTAAAGAAACATCGGCACAGCCTCTGTTTACCTATTTGAGGAATTCTGTGGAGGCTTTTTTCTCTCTGCTTCACTGTTTGTGGTTTCTGGGTGAAGTCCAGACCCAAAAATAAGTCAACACTGCCCCCGCTAGGGGTCTGAATGAGGCCTCCTGTACGTACACACTCAACGGTGCTCCGAAAGTGAGCTGGGGAGGCCCGGCGCTCCCCTTCGCTGCTGTGACGCATTTAAAACACACGTGCTGCGCGAAGCGCAGTCACAGGTGATGGCAGAGAAGAGAGGTTTACAATCTGAGGCACCCGGCCCAGTCTGTGTTATTTATTCCAGAACCGGCATGGCACATTCTGTTATTGGAAAACATCTTTTACTTTCTTACAAACGTGCCACTTTTCAGGAATCAAAAACATTTCCATTAACTGGTCAGGGTTTTTTTCTGGAGAGGGAGTCGACTTTGCCAACAATAAGAAACTGAAGGTGTGAAACAGAGGATTTGTCGCCAAAGCAAGTTTCCCTACTTGGTTTGAATTTTTACCAACTGCATTTGCAAAATAAAAAATCAAAGCAAAACTAAGAATCCAAGGAGAGACAACTTCTTTTCTTCAATAATAAATTTTCCAGCAAAGCTCAAAGGTTTTGTTGCTAGAGTAAGGTAGCTAGTGTCCAACATGGAGGCTTTTGGAGGCATATGGAGCATTCACACCAGCCATGTTTAGTCCACTTTAATCCAGGTTTTGTCGAGAAAGTTCGGTTTGTTTAAATACCGAATCAAACTTTGGTTCACCTACAAACCAAGATCTGTGTTCGGTTGAAGTGAATTCTGGTGGAGTTCGAATTCATATGTGAACACCAAGTGAACCGGAGCGCGATCCAGAAGCAGGAATCCAACTATAGCAGTGGGCATTCTGGGTAAATAAAACCAAACAAACATTGGGGGGGGTTTATACCAAACACAATAATAAAATCCTACAACTACTAACATTTGACACCTCTCCACTCCAGTGTCTTCCTACCCATCAGAGGTTTTTGTGTCATTTCTTCAGTAGTTTTTGGTGCAGCGCCGCCACAGGCGAGGAGGGGAACCTGCTTTTTAAATCTCAAAGGTTTTGTTGCTAGAGTAAAGTAGTTAGTGTCCAACATATGGAGCCTTTTGGAAGTTTAAGAGAGTATTTTCAATTTGGTCCATTTGACTCAGTGCAGTGTGAAAGAAAACCGCGGCAGCTGAAAATGTAACAATTTTGGTCCACAATCAAACTGAGTCTTGAGGACTATCAGGCGTGAAACACCTTAATGGTTCACCAGAACCATTACATTCAATATATACAATCTTTAAAATTTCTGTTTTAAACTATCACAGTTCTCTTATCATTAAGATGACTGCAAGCTAAAATAAAAACTTCATCAATTTTTCTCACGCTTCCATAGGAATCAACCATTGAGCTGATCTTCGCTGCCTTCGCCACCACCGCCAGCGCTAGCACCTCCCTGATCATGGCGCTCCTCCGCCACCCTCAGGTCCTGGAACGCCTCAGGGAGGAGCTGAGAGGCAGAGGCCTCCTCCACAACGGCTGCCTCTGTCCCGAACAGGAGCTGAGGCTGGACACCATCATCAGCCTCAAGTACCTGGACTGTGTCATCAAGGAGGTGCTGAGGCTGTACACGCCGGTCTCCGGGGCCTACCGAACGGCAATGCAGACCTTCGAACTAGATGTAAGTCTTTATGTGCAATTTTATTACTAGTGGAGTACCTCAAGGCACTGCGTTAGGTGTTAGGCCCATAACCCTACCCCTAACCCTAACCTAACCCTACATTAACTTTAAATGTTTTGCTGGATACAAGATAACCCAGCTGCAAATCAGTGTCTTACTGTATCAATAACAAGAAGATAATTGTGTTGTGGGTTCATCAGGCTTTGTTACGATAACTTCCAGTCGACCAGAAATTGCTAAACAATTAACAAATAAAACGGTGAAAATATATGAAAAGTGTGGATCTGACGACACGTTGCAACAAGTCTATAGTCACATGAATACTTTTCATAGTTAGTAATAATTTCTAAAAATTGTAGAAGAGTCTGCTTAAATTTTTAAAACCAATTGTATCATCTTATTCTCCTGTATTTTTCTCCACAGGGAGTCCAGATTCCCAAAGGCTGGAGTGTGATGTACAGCATTCGGGACACTCACGACACAGCTGCCGTCTTCAAAGACGTAGAAGCCTTCGACCCCGACCGCTTCAGTCAGGAGCGGAGCGAAGACAAGGAGGGCCGTTTCCACTACCTGCCGTTTGGCGGCGGCGTCCGCTCCTGTCTGGGAAAGCAACTCGCCACGCTTTTCCTCCGCATTCTCGCCATCGAGCTGGCCAGCACCAGCCGCTTTGAACTGGCCACTCACCAGTTCCCCCGTGTCGTCACGGTCCCCGTGGTTCACCCCGTCGACGGGCTAAAGGTCAAGTTCTACGGCCTGGACTCCAATCAGAACGAGATCTTGGCGAAGTCAGACGAGCTGCTGGGAGCGACGGTTTAGTGAGGGCAGCTGCTCATGAGGGTTGGGTGGAGAAGTTCAGAGATTTAAGTCTTTAGGGAGAAGATTGATGGAAGGAAACAATAATTTCAGAAAGATTTTTCCTTCTTCACCTTTGTTCTGCCAGATTGGAGCGTTCTTTCAGACTCTTCTAACAAATGGTTATCAGGACTCTTCTTTAAGAAAGGAGGAAACTGCCAAAAACTTTTTAAATATGCTCTATTCTGTGTATTTTCTGAAGAAGTATACTTAGAAAATATGTACAAAAAGCTATCTAATATAATTTGAATGGGAGTGGTGCACAACAGACTTTTGGTGAAATGAAGAGTTGAGATGAGAACAGTAAGGGTGTTTTAGAGAGAGGCGAGAGATAAAACAGGGTATAGAGAGAAGGAATATAATTTTCAACCATTTTGCTTGTGCTTAAATTCAATAAATCATTCTCAGTTGACTTGCAGGGTAAAAGAGATGGATTATATGAAAACAGAGTTTTTCTTATTGGCAAATATTTAACCTCGCACCCATGTGCTAAAATAATTAATATCTAATACAGGGATGAACATTTAAAAAAAAATCAAACAGAAAATTGCTTTTTTTGAATGGATATGTTAGGCATACAATACATTTGAAATAGAAACAACTTAGTTTTTTTTAGAATTACCTAAAAAAATAAGTAAGATGTTCTCTAAAAGCAAACAGGAAGGTGACTAAAGAATAACAAGACATTCTAATAACAAGCTTGATTTAAAAAATGATTTTGTTTTATTTATATCTGTTTGGTTATTTTAATCAAAATATTGTTTAGGTTTATGAAAAGCCTTCTTCATTAACCTTAATAACTAAGTCTTCTTCATTGGAAATACAATTGTTAATATTTAGGAACCTGGTTAGGGTTAGGTAACCAACCCTACTTAGTTTGGCTCAAGAGCTAATTCTGCTTGGTTAGGTAACCAAGATTTTCTTACTTGATTAGGTTTCGGAACCAGATCTACATAAGATTCAGGAAACAAACCAACTTCTTCATGTTGAAACAGAAACTTGGTTAAGGACAAATCCTACTTGACTGGTTTAGGGACGACACTAACTTGATTAGGTTTAGAAACCATCCCCACTTGGTCAGGTTTAAGAGCCAGCCCTCTATTGAGTTTAAGAACCAATTCTACTTTATCAGATTTTGGAAACAAATTCTTCCTCATTGTCAATCCTACTTGGATGTTTTTAGAAACCAATCCAATGTCATTGGATTTAGGAACCAAACATTCTGGTCACAATTGGGAAGCAATCCTACTTGGTGGGATTGGTTTATGTACCAGTTCTACTTGGTTTCTTTTTGGTCGTGTTTAGAGAGCAGTCCAACTTCATTGGGTTTAGGAACCAGTCTTTCTTGGCCCGGTTTAGAAACCAACCCTACTTGATTGAGTTTAGGAAGAAATTATACTTGATTGGGCTCAGGAAAAAATTCTACTCAACAGGATTTTTGAAAAGAAATCCTTCTTTGGTTGGTGTTGAAGAACCAAGCCTACTTCATTGGGTTTAGGAACCAATCCCACTTGGTCGCATTGACCAAGTTTTAGGGACCAAACTGACTTGGTCATGTTTATCTGAACAAACTAAAATTAGCTTTAGAAGTTAAGCCTAAATGTTGACCAAACTTATTTTACTTATATATCCAATTTACTCAGTTTTGAACCAAATGTACTTGTTTATGCTTAGTAATTATTCCCAAAAAGGTTCTGCTTGCCATCAATGACACAACCAACACTACAAAATCTACGATATTAAAACCAGTCAAAAAAAAACAAAAAAACACACAAAACAAAACAGCAAAACACAGGTTGAGTATTCCCAACAGTAAGAAACACAAACTTGAACGCTTCCTAAATTTTGCTTAACCTAGTGATGCTGATGTTAAACTCAGGTGCAAAGAAGACAATGTAAAACTTAGATTATCTGCTTGTTGATATTTTTCTGACTGCGAAATAGAATCTCTTACTAATAGCTTTAACTTTTTAGGTGAAACAACTACCTGGCAAATTAAGATTTAATTTTTTAGCTAATGTATTCCTCTATCTTTTACAGTTCAGAAGGCACAATTTTCAGTTTTCTAGTTACTAAATAAACAAAGCTACCAACTTACATTAAGAGATTAAAATGGATGATGAACGTATTTGATAGTACGCTTGTTCTCATAAAGCAGTGCACCTTCTGAGGCTGGAACCGGGTTAAAAGATCAGGGGATATGGTGAAAGTATATAGGAAGAGACCTACATACATGCTGCTTAAGTGCTGCCTTATCTTTGTCTTTTTTTGCACTTCTTTTATTGTTCCACCATCATGGAGGTCAACGGCGTTTATTCTCTCGTTGCTCCTCCGTTCAACAAAAAGACTGCAAAGCAAATTCAGTCCCAGAATGCTTGAGGTGATTGCACAATCAGAACCTTGGGAATTTGCATGTTCGGTTACCCCGTAGAATGTTTGGGGGGCGGAGCTTCTGTAGAGGCGTTCCGGAACTTGCTACAATTCCGGAATTTTCGACATCCTAAGGAGAAATAGACCAATGGGGTATCGGATAGAGGGCGGGGCTTCCTCCATGCAGTTCTGGAACTTGCTAGCAGAACTTTCCGGAGAGTTCTAAAGAGAAGGACCAATGAGACATCAGGCAGGGGGCGGGACTTACGCCTGCAAGGCTTTCACCTGTTGGACGGTCTGGATGAACTCTGTCTGTGCCACGCCCTTTTCATTTCTCCCAACCACACCACTGATTTTTTTCTTTTTTTGTTTTCACAACAGAGAAATATAAAAAACTGAAATGGTTTGTTTTGCTGCTTTTTCTTGTACACGGTTTCAAGTTGAAAGTTATAGATTGCAATAGTTTGTTCTGAGTGAGATTTGTGTTATGTCAATTCTTTTTTTAAAAAACTTTTTTAAGCATAAGGAGCATTAATAGGGTTATTAATAGGTGTGTATTAATTTGTACATTATTCCTTATCAGACTATGGGGAAATAGCTATTTACATCAACTAATAACCTATTATTAATGTTATTGTATGAATAATATTGTTGGTATAAGATATTTGAAATGCTATTTTTTATTCTATTGCAGATTTAGTTTTTAGCCTACATGAGAATGTCTTTGGTAAATATTGGATGTATTTAGAATGTTATGAATTTCAGTTTATATTGTAAACAGTGTTTAAAATGTTGATATTGTTGATTTGATTACTGTAATAATTATTATTTTTGTTATCCAGACTTATTATCACTGCATTTTATTTTACATTAATTATGGAAACAGAAAGCACTTGCCAGATATGTTTATTTTTTAAGTGCCATGCGACTACAGTTCAATCTTCCTTTCAACCTGTTGGTTTCTGAGTCTGTTTATGTCCTTCTGTACATAATTTGCAATTCTTTTTACAGGAAGAAATGTTCATTTAGCTTAATTATGAATGTCTCGTGATAGTTTTTCCATTTTCTTTTTTGTTACCAAGACTGCTATGTGTACTCCTGTAATAAACCACAAAGAAAAAATATCTGTCTGATGAAAAGTTTCTTATTTGGGTTTATTTGTGTATTCACCAATTAGTGCAACAAAAAGAAGATCGCAGATGAGCAAGTATTAATCTACAAATTACTCAATTAGTTAAGTAAAGACAACAAACGAAAAGGCAACAAAGGCAAATTAAAATATCCTTAAGTAGTGTTTTTTCCCCTAATATTCCTTGTTTTAGTAAATCTAAAGACAAATAAAAAAGCAAAACAATCAAAACCAATAAAGTCAGTGATAAAAGAAATAGTTTTGTCACATAAAAGACTCTATTAACGTACAAAACAAATATTTCTTCCCACAATAATCACGATTGTCTGGACGCCTTACAAGGCCAGGAACGTTAATGTGTTCATTTTAATTTATTAATTACATTATATTGATGCGTTACTTTAATAGTTAATGTATTTTTTACATACAATCAAAACAAGGTGGATTGTCAGAATAGTCAGCCATAAGTAGCCGTTCACAAAATTACTTTAAAGTAATTTAAAGTTTTATTTTATAAATCTGCAATATGTAACTTTTAGAAAAGAAATATATTTTTTCATATTTATTAAAATTGTCACTATGTCATGATGGTATGAGACACAATCTGTGAAATCGAAGTAATGCATCACTCCCATCTGAAAACAACCAGTCAGAGCGAGGAGAAGGGTTTAGCGTTGTCAGTCAACCTCATGAACGTGCTGCTAAATGTGCTAATGGCACAACTTACTGTTCCAGGAAAACCATTTATCTGCCGTCAACGATTGTTACTAACATTAGCATTCGCAGCATGCTATGTTGTGGTGTAGAGTAGCAATTGGCAAGGAAATAACACAAGAGTGATTGACAGCGCTAAGACCCTCCTCCTTGCTCTGATTGGTTGTTTCTAGTTAGCGATGGGAAAAAGCAGATGAGCTTGATTTATTTTCTGTCTTATACAATTTTAAAAAATATGTAAAACAACTTATTTTTTAATGTAAAATATATAAAAAGATCCTTATCATTAATGAATGTAAAATCAGCCATTTTTACTGGATCTTAAAAGGAAATGTGATGGCAATAAGAATTTAAATTAAATGAATAAAACATAGTTGTGGTTTAATAAACACGTCCCAGGATTTATGAGCTCTCCTGTCATCATGCCGATTTGTTGGCTTAAAAGTTGTTTGTTCAGAGTTATTGGGCATATTAAGCAACCCGAATGATTGATGGGTGTGAAAATGGCAGAGTGCTGCAGGGTCAAAACCTGGTTTTGACCCTGCAGACAGTTAGTAGGTTTAGGTACTTTAGCTTTAAGCTCATTGCCTTGGAAGACGTGGAATTGCTGAAATGCAGTTTCACCAGCGAACAAAAAGCCTCGGGGAAACCGCCTGTAAGGGCTGAAGGAGTGACACCAAAGGAAGGTGAAATCAATAAGTTTCACTTTCTGCGTAGCTTCGACAGGAAGCAGCTGAAAATTGTTGATTTAAAGAAGAGAAAGCCTTTTTTCTTTGTCGCCTTAAAGACTGGTTTGACTCACGATTCTGTCGAAGGAAAAGTGTGAACGATTGACATACAATCAGTAGGATAATATCCTGCAGAAATAGATTAAATATTAATTTGTGATCTCCCCCTGTGCTTCTGCCTCTGCATGCTCGAGCTTGTAGAAATATTTCTAGGCTCGGCCGCTGAGGCTGTTAGTATACTGGCAGGTATTGTGGTATGCGCGAGGCGTGGCATTTCCATGGGATTTCCCCTCAAAGACGAGCTGTCAAACGGCGAGCCAGCAGCTCTGACTGGCAGCAAACATCTACAAACCCTGCAGGCGAACAAACGTCCAAAGTAAACATTTACCTGCTGATGCAGTGGCAGAACTGATGAGGAAGTGAAGTGAGATCGCTTGGATCGCTGCCCTCTCAGTCCCGTCAAACTGTTTCCAGTCATCCTGATTTGCAGTTTCAATTTTATTCCTTTTTGCTGAGGAAATTCCCAAGAATGAAAACTGCAACCGGTTGATCGGTCATTTCTCCCACTTCTGAGATTTTCTGTTTCTAGTGAAGATTCTCCTTAACCGTGAACTATTGTACTTCCTTGAACAGGCTGGGATAGGATAGGTCTGTGGTCTACACAAAACATGTTGTCTACTTTTATTGCACAAAATAATTCCTATATAATAAGATTTTAGTCTGGTCAGTCTATTTTAGAACTTTG